TTTTTTTTTAATTTGAGCCATTTTTAGCTCTTTCAGAAATGAGACTGCCTTATAAATCAGATCCCTGTGCTCCCCCTTCCAACCCCACAGCAGTGCAGCCCACCTTGGATGCTGCAGCAGGCTCAGACACGCTGGGAAMCACCATCCTGGCAGGTTTTTGGAAAATACTCATCAAGAAAGGCATCMCAGGGTGATCAGAGCTATTTGCAACCTTCCCACGAGCTTTTCCCTCGGGATTTGTGATTATCCCAGCGAAGAGGTGAGGGCTGCTCAGCCTAGGGGACTGATGTCTGTCCCCTCCTATGTCTTTCAGGTGTTTTATACTTCTGCTCAATCTCCCACTGGGATTACAGYTCTAATTAGGCAACTTACAGACTTCACACAGGCAGAAGCTGCCATTCTTTACCTGCAGAATAATCACCTCCTTTGCCTTTATCACAAGTTCCCTGTCATCTGTAGGGAGGGAAGAGATGGGAAGGACAGAGACAAGTGACAGGRAAAGGTAGAAAAAGTGGGTTCTGCTTGAAATCGGATAAAATGATGAAAAAAAATGTGAGTTTTTCCTGCTCCTGTGAGGTACTTCTGTGAGAAAAACGTAATTGTAAACTTTGAATATTGCAAGCAAAACAAGGAGGCCTACTGAAAAAATGGAAAGCGAATCTGCTCCAAAACCATCAGTCACAAAAGTCTGCAGCCTGCTCAAATTTCTGTTCTCAGTACCAAGGAAGAATAAATTCAGATAAATTAAGAYCTGGGCAAAGGATCCAGGAGATGGAACAACAGAAAAATTACAGAAGAATGTGCCATAGTTGTGAATATTATCAAGACCGACCCTGGAACAAAATGAACATTTTAAATCATAAAGTATTAACTCGGGATGGACAGATGGGGAACACACATACACCTCTCCCCAGGAGTCAGGTCAGGGCAAACCCCCTTTACCAAAACCACATTTATTGAAAGCAAAGCAATCTGCCAGCTTCTTGTGTTTTATAACATTTTAATAACCCTGAAATCATGACTGCACCAGGACCACGTTTTCATCAGAGTAAAATTTACAAGTAACTCGTTTCCAATGCATCAGATGGTAAAAAACAAACACGGGGGGCACACACAGGACAAGAAGGGTCATCTCCATGTCAGTGGAACATCCTCATCAGAGAGCAGGGGCTGTGGAGGTACTGTGGGCACTGCTGGGCACTGGACTGGCTGTGCAGGGCTGGACAGTGCTGCAGGATGGAGCCTGGCAGGGGGAACCTGAGCAATGGGGAACCTGAACAATGGGGTGGGCGAGTGGAGGGGTCTCTCCTGAACCCCA